CCCTTTGGGACCCCTCCAAAAGAAGTGTATTTATACGGTTTTCATAGTTGAAGGGGTCAATATATACGGGTTCATAGATGAGAGAGTTAAAGTAATATTCACTAATAGCTAAGTGGGTCCTGGTGTAATTAACCCTTTTAGTTATTACTTGAATAGCCAAGGCTCAGAAATGGGGCACAAAATTTTATCCTAGCTAACAAGAGCAGAAAGCTAGAAGATCCAGAGAAGTTAGTAGGATTCTTAAACCTTATTCTTGACTTAGCTCTGAACCTTTAACCTAGTAGGATCAGTATCTAATGAGAAAGCATAAGACAAGGCAATTTACCCCTCAGAAGGCCAATCTTAAACCCTAAAAGCGTTCAGGAGTAAGCTTCTCCGAAATAAATTTCTTTAATCTATTCTCCATATAAGTATATCATTAGCAGGTAATAATAGTGAAGGAAAGACAGTTCAAAATGTTTTTAATGAAATGAACGATATTAATAAATTTGAAAAGATGAAGACAGTTAAATGCAGAATTAAATCCTTTGAAAAACAATAGTTAAAACCATTATTGCGTACCAAAACTCAGGGTGCAACACTTCCAAGACATGGTATCTTGGGCATAACTTTTTAGTTGGCCTGTCTTGTCAGACCATTCAAATTTCCAGAAATGTCATTAACCTAAATGGCTATAATGTTCACATAACAATAAAGCAGAGACAGATGAAAAGGAAAAAGGTGTCATTGGACCTGTAGCCAACAAAAGAACATTTTCGGGTTACTTCTTCGTTGGAGGCCGCCTCTAATGGACTTCTTACATGTGTAGTGTTTGTACACAAAAGGATATACGATGTTATCATCCAGTAGTTGCATCATGTGCAGAGCCATTAAGCCGATAATATATTGCCCAACAACCACTTAGCACTTGGGAAATTCAATTAAGTCATTCATCTTCCTAGTGTCTTCTATTACAGGGGAGAAAACAAAGACATCAGGACACTAACTTTTTGATGTCATTGAAGTCACATGAAGACATGTACAGCAGTAATTAGAAACATTTGGAACAAAATAAAATATATAGTGAACCTGTTTACATTTTATGGGCATCAATCATGAATATACACAGAAGTATTTCCCAACCGGGATGCTGAACCCTTCTTAGTTCTTATGCCTCTGTGCTGACAAACATATTGAACTTAAAACGGTTAAGCTGTCTAGAGCTCTAGGCAAGAGTAAGTGACAGGATCGACATACATCTCATACCCTTAATCAACTGTAAGACACCGACTGCATAAAAAATAATCCATGACAGATCTATTAACCATTGATGTGGAACGTAAGGTTGTGGAACGTTTCCTTTTTTTTCCTAATAAATCCTAATCCTATGAAACAAAGATAAAAGAATAAAAACTGTCAGCCAATTTTTCCTCCCAAATCAGTGCAAGCTGCAAAAGTTGGATTTAAAAGTAATAACTATACTATTTATTTTCTTTCATACACATATGCTTTGTAATTTTCCGACAATCTAACTTCTCAAATTTTAAATCATTTTTATCTCTCAAGTTTTAAATCATAACCTTCGTTATTCTGTAGTTTTCATATATACATTGCATTTTAGAATTTAATTCTAGATGGTTTTCAGAAAAAAAGGGCAAAGGGCAATCACATTGCCCGAAGCTCCCGGCACTGTGGGGTCTTAGGTCAGATGCATGCGAAGAGGCTGGTTCCATTGTTTGAAACCATGATGCCTACGTCGCAATGGAGCAACCTTACCACTGTGCCAAGGCCCACCCTCAAATGATTTTCTAAAAATAAAACAAAACAATGTCCAAATAAATCAAAATAAAAGAAATCTGAAAAAAAGGAGGGCGATGTCATAATGCTGAACTGCAATTTTCCTCCAATCAAACTTCAAACCCGATTAAGATTATACTAAGGCAAAAGTTCATAACAGTAAGACATAAATTAGTAATTTGTACTCATTCATCATTGAAGCGGTTTCTATAATAACGAAGTCCACAAAACATCATGACTTTCCTACATAAAGTCATTGAGATTAAGAGAGAACCTGTTTTGCAACAATTAGGGAATTTGGGACAAAATAAATTTCAAAGTTCCAAGAACAAAGTTCTTTCCCAAGTGGGAAAAAACATTAATGAAGTGGAAGCATCCACATTGTCAACAAGCATAAGGCATAAATAAATCTAGTAGTAGTTTATTACTGAATATAATCAGAGGTTGAGAAACAGTACACCCTTCTTGCCCAACAAAAACAAAAAAGACAATCTAAACCAAATCCTCCCTTATGCAGGCAAAGGCATATTGAACATAAATGGTTAATCATTTATGAACCTAGACAAATTGGGTTAGTCGCCTTCACAGAGGCTCATAGATGGACAACAAAGAAAATTTCAATCCAGTGAATTGATGTAACTGACTTGTATATCACGAAAGTAACAAAACAAAAATCTAATTTCCATAGTGATCTCATGCCTAAGAACCAGTAATTACCATTTATGGCCTTTCTACCACAAAACTTTTTCTTCCAATTAATAAGAATCCAAATTCAATTGCTCTAAAATGACAAGCAAACCTGAAAACAAAAATCATAATCAAAGTGCTCATGTTTGTTTACACATACATTGCCTAACTCAACTCAATCCCAAATAGTTGTTCTGAAAACTGGGAGGAAGGAAGGAATGAAGGAAGGACAAGGGCGTTCTCATAGAGCTAAACTAGAACTGTAAGAACAATAAAACCTGCAACCTTGATTGATACGGTACAGTTGTAAAAACATAAAATCTAGCCGGTAAATAGTTAATTGGGTTAAATACACTTTACTCCCTTGTGGTTTAATCAAAAAACACATCATCCCCTTATCTTTTAAAATATACACACAACACCCTTATAGTTTGGAGTGAATTGTAAGAGTAACAGGATCTGTCTAAATTAACAATGTGTGTCTGACACACTCTGAATTATACGTGTGGTCCAAAATATTTTGAGAAAATGACACTTTTATCCTTTGTTTTTTGTATTCTCCTCTTCTTCACTGCAACCTGAAACACCACTGTGGTTTACTGTCCATCTACTTCATCACATCTCTCTCTCAATTCGTCCAACAACCCAAGGTCACGCAAACCATCTGCCACCATTTCTAATCACACCATCCACCAGCACTACAACTATATATGTATATATATGTGTGTGTGTGTGTGTGTGTGTGTGTGTACATATCTAGGTTCAAAAGCAAGTCTCCAAACAAATTTGTGAAACGGATTGGATCCAATTGGAATTAAAGAAACATAGTTTGGGTGGTCTAATAAAAATTGCAAATTGTAATGCAAAGACTGGTAAGTCAATAGTGTATATATATACATGTACACAAAGTTATTTAGAGACTACCCAAGACAAACAAAATGTTTTCAATTACAACATCTTACTTGACACTAAGCAGATTTACCAATGAGTGCACCGTAAGTTGGAATTGGGCTTTGGTTTGTGGTTGCTTCAGATACGACAACCATGGCTTCTTCCATAAAATAAAATAATAAATAAATAAGAGAATAGTGAGTGCTGAAGAATGGGAAAAAAACCAGAAAGATTATGGTCATTGGATGTGAAAACAACTGGTGATGTCGTGGGTTAAGCTCCAATACGATAAGAAAGATTGGATTGTGATGTCATACAAAAGAAAATTAAACAACAAAATAAGGGTAATATAGACTTTTTGTAAAAGTTATTGACAGTGACTTTATATTTTACTCCAAATCACAAAGAGGTTATGTGCTATGTTACCTAAAACATGGATTGTTCTGGTACATGGAACGGGAATGGGAATGTGGTACGACACATGCTCTAAGATGTGGTACGATAGGAGTAGACTTATAAATATTACACTTGAGAATTTAATGTAGTTCTAGAGTAGTTTTCTTTAAACTATTAGGTATCCAATAATATATACTCCCTCCGTCCCAAAATATTAGTCCCTTGTTCCATTTTTTATTGTCCCAAAACATTAGTCCTTCTTCAAAAATCTAGTTCAAAAACAATATAAATTTTCTATTTTGCCCTTCTTTTAAATTCATAAACAATATAAAAAGTACAATTACGATATTGATATTCTCCAAAAAATTTACTATCAAAGGGTAGTTTTGAAAAATTAACTTTTTTAAAATGCAATAATTGTACTACCAAAAAAAAGTTGGATTCCCCAAAAGGGACCATTATTTTGGGACGGAAGGAATATATATATATCCATGTAGCAAATCATTTCTATGAAAATTATGACCCATTTTTTATGTTTTTGTCTTGTTAAAACTTAACTCACCTTATTAGTTCATATAATTGATTTTTTTTTCTCCTATGGTAACATTTAAGGAAATATATTGGGAAAAAAACTTTTGGAATCGTTTTGGATCACTAAATTTACCATTTTGGAATAGAAGTGTACCATTTTTCGGAACGTGCGTACCAATACGTAATTTGTTAGGGTATTAGTGTTTTCTAGTAACATACGTTGTGTATATTTTTAAACTACAAGGAGGTAATGTGTTTTTGAGCTAAATCATAGGGAGGTAAAGTGTAATTAACCGTAGTGAATTTTAAATTTCTTCCAAGAATTTACAACCCCCATTGAACAAAATAATACAATCCATATACATAGAATTAACATCGATTCCAAAAAATAAAGAAATAAAAGGAAAAAATTTCATCATATTAGACTCGAGGGTCTTGGTCTGTAGAAACAACAAATAATTCAAAATTCGGAAAGAAAAACAAAAATTTACTTGAACTGCTATAGGAAAGTAACTCTAACAGCAAAACTTCTTAAAAGGTTTCAATTTTATTTCTAGGACATTGAGATAAAAAGTCAAGTTACAAAAAAATCACTATGTAAGCATGTAAAAAATTAATAATGATGTCTTGCGCATTCTGAAATGGTAGAATAAACAATCCAACAGCTGCCTTTTGAGTACAGAACAAAAACAAATGTAACAAACATTTAGAAGACCTACCTATCTTGCAAATGTATGGATCCACATAGGCACGACGCCCCCAAAAATATTCCTTTTGAGGAATTCCACCAAACACTCCTCCAACAAGCATACTGAAGTCGAACAATATGGGATTGAAAGCCTACATGCCAAGATAACATAAAAGCTTTTACAACATTTTTCAAAAAGTTTTTTAAGAAGAGAACATAAATATTAACACAGCAAAGGAGCAGAAAAAGGCAGGCCTACCTTGTCAACCATTATATGATTTCCATCAACATTTCGAAGCAAGAGTTCTTGCCCGTGTAAAACTTCAAGAGTGTGTGCAAATCCAAGTGCTACTTTGATTCGAGCAATCCACTTAAAATCATCTAGAAATGTAAAATGGCTAGTAAATACACAATAAACAAACACAAATGATTCTATTTTGAGATTTTGGACCATATCACCGTGCCCAAGTAATAGTAAAGTGGTCTTGTATTGAGTTCATTGTTTTAACTGATCAAAATTTTCAATTCTTTTTAATTTTTGCATGCAAAATCTTTTTAATCTTCTAAACAGATCAATGTCTGAATAGGAGAAGACATGCTAACTAGTGATTAAAAAAATCCAAACTAGATAATTAGATCACCTTGTATGAGTAGGTTTTCTACAGTATCAAGTGGTTGTAGCTGATATACAACACCCAACCGTCCATTTTCACAGCAATATCCAATCAACTTCACCAAGTTTGGAAGCCAATTCACGCCTGAATTAGTCAGTAACTTGATTTCATCCTATGACATAAATTATATCATTAGATAAAACCATCAAACGCAATCAGAAACTTTGTCCAATCAAAGTCTTTTCAGCTACTTACTCTCAAACGAGATTCTTGGGGCTTCCGATTGTGCACACTTATCTTACAATCTTCCCAAATTTTAACTGTAACCTCTTGGGTTCCCAAACCATGTTGAATTTTGCCCCGGAACACTTTTCCAAATTGGGTATCCCTGATAAAGTTTTCAGTGCTGAATCCCTTTGTGATAGACTCCAGCTCTTCATAGGTGTACACATCCAAACCACTAGCAGATTCCATACCTTCAAAGCCATTTTATTTACGTGGAGGTAAGACAACATTGAGGTGCAAGCAGACAAAATGAACCAATACAGAAATTAAAATTTGAGACAACCAAAGTTTCTGGGGAGCTTTCTTATAATTCATTTCTTTCTATTGTCATGTCAAAGTAAAGTTAAAACTTTTTTATGAATCATAAAGATGACATTGACATGTACCAACCCTATCCTCAGTTGAGCCAAACTAGAGAGAAGCACTGAAATACAACATACTTGACACATTTACTTTGGTTTCCGTAAATAACAACAATTATCTATACTACTATAACAGTGTCTCTAGAGATGTAAAACATTCTTTTGACAAAATTAATCCCATTGGAGTAAATACTAACATGCTCTCTAGCCCCGATGAATTGCTACAGCGAATATTCCATGTGAAAGTCATTAGATGCCACATTATCATGAAATCTATAAATTGTTTAAGTTCATGTTAGAAAAATAAGATATATAATAATAATAATAATAATAATAATAAAGGGAACACATGCTATGACAGACAAAGTATTCGGCCGAGAATCTAACATAATATTAAAATATATATATACACAAACAAATTGCACAAAACCTATACATATACATATCGTGGTAGCCCAAAAAATGATACACAAATACCATGGAGCCCAACCCAACTAAAGAAGCATAATGGGCCAACACAAACCAAACCAAACCAAAAGGCCCATCAAACAACTCAATTAGGGCAAGGCAAAAATACTATATAAAGAAGACCATCCCTCAAGAAGAGGTATGCCTCAATCTCTGCTACACACTCTACCCTCTCCATTTTATTTGGGGCAAGCTCATCTCTTTGTTGAACACTACAAAAATCTGTGTGAGAAGATTCAGGGTCTTACAATTGGTGCCGTTTGTGAGAATAGACCAACTTCAACAAAAAAGATGAGCTTACTATTCTTGGGAACCACAACATAAATGACTCATGTGATCTGGTGGCGTTGCCGAGACAATCTCAAAAAGCCACTGTGTGTTCGTTTCAAAGACCCATCAAATCAAACAAACATGAAGCTGTTTCATGTTGCTTGAGGTTTACCAAATCATTAATTGGTGGAGAACACAAGTGTAACCATAAGATGTTTCATCCATTTGTGGAAAAGTTCTACATGACTATGCAAAGGAAACTTTCTCTCTAATACATATGTATATATATATATATATCTCTAATGTGCATATATATGTATATCATCTGTCTAATGCTCTCTCTCTCCCTCTCTACGTATTTACATAAATATTCAATGATTGATGTTTTGCAAGGAATGGCCCAAAAACGGCATAATATTCATAGATTCAAAATTGTCTAGACTTTCTCTAAAGACATGCGCTCAGGAGGAGTTGCCGATGCAAAGTAGCCGAAGTGTGGTTCGGACAACACAACTAATTGACGTCACAAAGCGAGCATCCGACTTCTCCAACCTCTGCTTTGATGCACTGCGAACAACGAAGCACGGTTGCGGGTACGGATAGGGGTGCGTGTATGATACGGGCACGTTGATACGGCAAATTCTTTAAAAAATAGGGTACGAGTACGGCTGGGGTACGCCAATTTTTTTAATTTTTTTTTTTTAAATTTATAACTAAACATCCAACATACAAATCAAAATTTCAATATCAAAACTAAAAAGAGAACTTGAGAACTTGTCTAAAAAGTTATAAAATTATTTCTTTTTCTTTTTTGATTGTCTAAAATAGGATACAAAAGATAGCAAAACCATGACTCATGGGCTATGAAGCACGGGTACGGATACGAGTACTGGTAATGGTACTGGTATGATACGGGTATGCTAATACGGCAAAATCCAAAAAAAGTAGAGTACGGGCACGACTTGGTACGCTTTAAAAAAAATATTTATTTTAAATTTAGAGTAATGTAAAAATTAATTAAATGGTTTACTTTGTTAAGATAACCTATAATTAACATTCAATGCCAAAAGTAAAAGTATAAATCAAAATTATATGTCAATATATTAAATAACTTACAAACCATAGTTTAATTTTAAAATCATACCAAGTATAAAACTAAAAATAAAAAAGAAGTCCAGTGAAAGGAGTTTTATTTCTATAGTAGAAAAAATTATTGTTTCAACTGAGGTACAGTACGGCTTGGATATATATTAGGTATGTCTGAGTACGACAAAAATTAAGAAGAAAAAATTTGGGTACATGTTTCGTGTACCCGATACATATGCAGAAGTACCATACGAGGTACCATCCGCCGATAAGTACCCGGTATGGGTACGGCATATTTTTCAAAAGGGCAAATTACATATACACCGCTCTAGGTTTGGTTAAATTACAGATACCCCCCTGAGGTTTCGAAAATTACATCCCGCCCCCTGAGGTTTGTATTTTCATAACAATTTACCCCCTGAGGTTTATATTTCATAACAAATTACCCCCTAATTTCTTATGCAAATATAGCATTCAGGGGGGAATTCGTAATTTCTCAAACCTCAGGGGGGTATCTGTAATTTTGTCAAACCTGGAGGGGTGTATATGTAATTTGCCCTTTTCAAAATACCCATGCTTCATAGCTCATGGGTAAAGGGTGTTAGAAATAAATTACTTGATATTTTCAAAATTGAAAGAAGAATAATAAAGGCTGTAATAAATTCTAGCATACCCACAACGTACCCAAATGTATTTGCCGTACCCGGCATGTATTCGGCGTACCCGATACGCGTACTGCCGTACCAATACGCGTACCCGCACCCGGTAAGTACTCGGTACTTGTACGACACCATTTTTGAAGTACCCGTGCTTCATAGACTGCGAATTACCTCATTCACAAGATAGCAAGAAAGAGAGTTGATGTAGCGTAACGGAACTATCTCCATGTTGTTCAGCACCGAGTGCGACCATGGATTCATAACTTCACAAGCATGAATGTTTAGCCAAATGAAGAACAAGCATTGCCAACGACATGCATGTTGTTAGGCACTGAGCATGACCATGGATTCATAACCTCACAAGCATGAATGTTTTGCAGAATGGAGAACAAGCAACATGCCAAGCACAACATTTCGAGAAGGAAGTTTGAGCACAACACTGCTGCCAAGCTCCTAGTCGGGTCTTCACTTTCTCTCACTAGAATAATGAAGCCTTTTAGCAAAGAGTTATTTGGGACTCCCTACAAAGCTACTCATCAACTCCTCGCCAAGATCAATGAATAGTTTTGAATAGCAAATGGCCATGGCTGACCACCAAGCGAGCACCTGACAGCCTCAACACACCTAATAAGATGTCACATGATCAATGCCATGCCAAAAAAAATCGAAATCCAACTGGCCAACTAGAAACACCGAACTTAGAGAGCTAGGCAACCAACAACTACCGAAGCCGAAAAGATCGGAGACAGAGAGAGATGAGAAGAAGAGAATATGGTGGTGGCTGCTGCAACTTGCAAGGCTGCTGTGTTGTGTGTTGTTGCTCCAACTTGCAAGGCTACTGTGTTCTGTGTTCTGTGTTCTGTGTTGCTGCTGTTGCTACTACTCTACTAGGGTTAAAAAAAAAGAGAGATTTTAACTTAAAAAAGTTACACATTTTTTATGACAAAAAAATTCGGGCATTTCACTTTGGTCGGGTCATCTGTGTAAAATCCAAGATCCGAATTTCAGCTAAAAACAAGCCCACACCTGACCCTACTAGTGTACCGAAACCACCCAATATCCTTCGGGTAGGGTCAGGTCAGACAGGTTTCGCAGGTCGGACAGTTCCTTGCTCACCTAGGGCCGACCCTAAGTTTCCAGGGGCCTAAGGCGAAATAATTTTCCAGGGGCATTTAGGTATCCATAAAAAAATTTTAAAAAAAATCGCCTTACTTGGTTTAAAGTCTTCAAAAATAATAATTTTCTAAGTTTGCAATTTTTTTTTTTTTTTTTTACATTTTTTGTATTTGGTAAAAAAAAAATTAAAAAAAAAATTGAAAAAAAAAATCACAAATATAATACTTTTAAAGTGTATACAAAATAAATTTTAAAAAATTGCGTATAATATTTTTAAAAATGACTCAAAATACACATAATTGGGCCATAAAGAGAGTTTAAAAAAAATAGGTCAAAAAAAATTAGGCTAACGACTAATACATATGCATATATTTAATATTTTACTTTTTTCAATTGGGCTGACAACTAACACTTATAAATATTTTTCGACTGGCCTCATATCAATTAGGCCAAACAAAATTTTTGGGGCCCTTTAAAGTAGCCTAAATTAATAAAACAGAATTGGGCCATTTTGAGTTTTTAATATATTACAAGACTAATGAATTTGGGAGCCTTTTATTGGGCCTAATTTTTGGGGCTCTAGGCAAAGGCCTCACTAGACTTAGCCCAAGGCTGGCCCTGTGCCCACCATCGTCTATCTCCGCCGAATTGGTGACTCCCTCACAACTCTTTGGCTATCATCCATCAGTCCAAAAATTCATTTCAAGATTCATCTCGGCAATGGAGAATGGAGTAGCTTAGCAACCCACCTATCATCTCATCTAGAAGGTTCATGTGCCGATCATGGTGCAATGGACGAGCTGATTGCAGCACGGTGCAAGACTGACAATTTTCAAGCATTTCAACCACAAAGAACAATCTGGGGAGACTCATCTCGGACCAGCTCGGCAACAAAGACCTTCCTCGGCAACCCCATAGCTTGCTTAGCCACTTCGTGACTCACCAAAGAGCAATAGTAGGAAAACCCAACTCTCAATTACTCGAGAAAAACCACAGCAATACCACGTCCTTCACTTCTGCTAAGCTGAAGTGTCTTTTGTAGCCCCTTCGAGTGCCTCAACGTCACCGAGGAATATACTACCATCAAAGAATTGGATTGCTAAGAGCAGTTTGGTTATACCACCCTCTCAGCGGCACCAATGCATCACCAAAATATCAATTCGAATGCTGAGATCAATCCTATCTTGATCGGCAACTAATTCCTCTTGCTCAAAATTATATAAAGCTCCTATTGGATTTCCCCTCAGTTGCAGGAATCGTGCAACCAGGTGGCGATTCTGAGTAATGAGTTAGAATCGCGATTTCGCGTTTCCTAGAAAGAATCATGTAAGAATCACGTTTCTGTGGAGAGAGAAACGCGATTCAGTCCAAGATAAGATTGTAAAGAAGAGAGAGTGAGAGAGAGAGAGAAAGTGAGAGAGAGAGAAACCTGGTCTCACTGTCGATTTCGACCTTCAGTCTAGCCCTTAGCCCTAGCCTTCGACGTCAACCTTTGCTCTAGCGCTAGCCTTCGCCTTCGACATCGACATCGACCTTCGCTCTCGATCTCCTCTTCTCTCTCTTTGTCTTCGCCTTCGACATCATGTCGATCTCCTCTTCTCTCTCTCTCTGTCTTCTCTCTCTCTCTCTTGTCGATTTGTGTTCTATCTCTCCCCCCTCCCGTTTTTAACATGTAATAAATAATATAATTTGTTATATAATAATAAATCTAATTAAATCATATATAAAAAAATCTAATAAAATCTATAAAATAAATCATTCAATTTTTATTTTTTATTTATTTTAACATATTTTATTATTCCTTATTTGTTATATATTTTTTTATTTATAATATATATATCAATTAAAAATAAAAAATAAATTAAGTTTATTTTATAACTAATATAATTGTTATAATTTTTATTTTTTTAACAAAATCTATTATTTCTTAACTTTTATTTAACTAATCTTTATATAATAAATATATTTAAAAAATAACTATTAATATATATATATATTTTACCGCTCCCCACGGCGCTCCCAACCTAAGAAACTTCTATCGGCTCACGCTTCCCCGCTCCCGCTTCGGCTTTGTGCAACTAAGGATTTCCCTCTCTTGCCCAATGACTTTATCTAGAGATTGGCTTGATGAATAAGACCCATTTAGTGGTATTCACGGCAATGAAGGAATGCACCAGGCTATAAAGAGAATGACTGATGGCCGAATTGATCAAACTAGCTCATAAGTCCGTAGCAAGCAACCAAAATCGACATGTAAGCTCGGCAACATTTTTGCACTTCATACGACATCCTTGTAGAGCCATGGGAACTCCAGCATACTATTCAGAATGATGACAAGACCAAGACAACTCTTCACCGAATTGGTACACGTGTAGTGCAACCATGTGGCTATTGTCAAATAGACACTTGAACTATTAAACGCCAAACATGGCCGCTCATCAACTCGACAACTTCTCAACTCTCATTCATATCACTCGGCAACAATGGGCTTCCAAACCTGCTTGAGCAAGCAACCGTCTCAAAAGATTTGCCGCCAAAAGAACCAAAGGCATCGGAAGCACGAAGGCCAAATATGAGTCTCCGTCTAAAAATACAATAAATTGTGCATCACCGAGAAAGTAAGCTCATGAACGACCTACCTACTGCTCATGGTACTGCCTCGATCATACTCTTGGTCCAACAAAAAGAATACATGCAGGAGTAGATGCCATGGGTGTAACATCTCTAATATTATTGTATGACATATGCATATGCTATGTTCCATGTTTAAGTACTTTGAGTTGCATAGGTACCTTCGAATTTGAAATGCTTGAAATATGCTTTGGTAGGAAATAAATTGTACAGCCTATACCATTGGAAACATATATGTTCCTAATGCATCAAACGAGGCTTGGTTTTGAGTTTTCTAGTGAGAGATATGGTTGTTTTACTAAATTGTGTCAAGGTTGCCTGTCTAACTCAAATTGCTTTAATTTTATTGAAATGGATTGCGTACCAACATTCATTGAATTATATGATGTAGGTTGACTATACTTTGGGACTTTCACTCAGAAAGAATTAAGGTGAGTAGTATTTCTTCGAAGTTAATTTGAACTTCTATTTTTGAATGCTTAAATCTTTGGTTGATCCAAATTGTATTGAAATGTTTCAAGCTAATGGATATCTTATGGTTATATTGACATGCATATATACATGGCATCCTCAGCTAGTCCTACCCAGCCACTACAGGACAGAAAATATACAACTAGCAGTTGTTGAGATCTCCATTGTCACCTACAGACGTGTTTGTCTAATCGGAATAAACCTGGTTATTCCATTTGCTAGTACCGATCAGATGTACATTATCATTGTTTTGAAATGAATGTATATGGCTCTATTTGTTCTCAAATTGTTTAAACTCTTAGTTCAACAATATTTTTATCATATAAATGATGATATCCATTATTTTACACCTTTGATTAAATGCTATTCATTGGGCTTTGGCTCACCCCCCTCCTCCCTATATGTATGTAGGTGACGAGTGAATGAAGGTTGCTCCAAGATTGTATATATGTGTATATGGTGTGCAAGAGCTGCCTGTTTTGGTTTTCCTTTAAGAACAATGTTTTGTAGTGACCTAAGAAGCACAGGTGCGGGTGCGGGTGCGGGTATGGGTATGAGTACGATACTGGTATGCCGACACGACAAATTTTTAAAAAAATAGGATGTGGGTATTGCTTGGGTACGCCAATTTTTTTTTTTTTTAAATTTTAAATTTATAGCTAAATATCCAACATACAAATTAAAGTTCAACAACATAATTAAAAAGAGAAATTACGAAAAAAAAAGAAGAAAGTAAATCATACGAGTTGTTTTAATGTCTTTATTATATAGAAATAGAATAGAAGAAATTAGAAAAGAGAGTTTAATGCCAAACAAGCTAAACAAAAATAAAAGATAACCATTAACCAAATATAACCATTAACAAGCTAAACTCATATTCCTATAATATAACCATTAACAAAATAATTTGTGATTCTTTAACTTCATTTCAGTATATAACTTTTCAAATATTTACATAACATTTTTTTTACTGTGTCTACTACAGTCTACAACAGTAAAAAAGGGCAAAGTTAAATAATAGAGGGGTCATTTTACATTACCTTTTTCTTTTAAGGGTAAATTACACTTATACCCCTGAGATTTGAGGTTAATACATATCACTCCTGACGTTTAAAAAATTACACTAACTCCCTTATCATCGTAATTATTTAGACAGAATGAAGATATGGAACTCATGCAACTTTTCTTTTTTTTACTTTGCCTTACTTTCTCTTTTTTCCCATTTCCTTTACTTTTTTATTTTTTAATATAATTTTCTTTGTTTTTTTAGTAAGAGTTGTTACATTTTATATATGCAAAGTTTATGAAATGAGCCTATTAACCATAGGGTGAGAATGTAATTTTCAACATGTAGGGGTAGATAGTAATTAGACCAAACCTCAAGGGTGTCAATGTGATTTACACTTCTTTTAAAGATATTACAGAAGGCTCTAGACTTGCAAGTTGCATGAAATTCCAATGGCTGTGGGAAAAAATATATTTATCAGCAAAAAAAATGAAGGAGAGTTCAAGAAAAAGGAAGAAGAAATCTGGACAGAACAGAAATCTGGAAAGAAAAAAAAAATCTGGACAAGATCAATTTGTTCTTCGTTTGCTGCCAAGAAGGAGTACAAAAATCTGGAAAAAAAAATGAAAAAAAGAGGAAACAGAAATCTGGACAGAACAGAAAAAAAATCTGGACAGAATCTGAAACTGGAAAAAAAAAAAGAAAAATGATGTGTCTTCGTTCTTCATTTGCTGCGAAGAAACAGAAGAAAAAAAATTCTGGAAAAAAAAAACCATGAATCGAAGAGGACGATGAATCTGGACAGAACAAAGAAGAGGAAGATGAATCGAAAAAGAGGAAGAAAAGAAAAAAAATCTGGACAGAACAAAGAAGAGGAAGATGAATCGAAGAAGAAGAGGAGGAAGAATCGAAGATGAACTTACCGGAATGTGATCTTTGAAGGAGAGAATTGATCAGCACCTTCGATTAAACCTCTTCAATAGCTTCGTTTCTTGGGAGTCTCTATAGCTTCGTTTCTTGGGAGTCTCTATGGGTATTTTGGGAAGTTGGCTTTTAGCTTTTTTTGGGGGCTATTTCCCAAAATAAGTTAAAATAATAAATTAATTTTCAAACTAAGTCTAGTTTTGAAAGAATTCTCAAAATAAGTTAATTCGCGGTTCACAATCGCGATTTTAACATTTTTCCGTCTATTGCGCGTGAAAGTTGGCAGATCTTAAACTCGTTGTTACGAAAAGTGATTTTAATTAAGAAATCGCGGTTATAAAACGCGAATTTAATTATTTTTTTTTTTCTGAACTCGCTGTTATTAAACACGATTTCGTCAAAAAAAATTTGTTATGAACTCACTGTTATAAACCACGATTTTATAAAAAAAAAAAAATTTCTTCTGAATTCGCTGTTATAAATCACGATTTTATCCAAAAACTTTTAATATATATTAAAATGTGATCAATATAAAACATAGGTTGTTGGTAGCTCAAATGGTAATGCAATGTTATGCTTTGGCAGGGGTTTATATATTTATTATGTAATTTTTTTATCAAAAAAAAGTAAAACATTTGTTTGGTTAACTAAAAATTTTTTCTATAAAACACAGTTTTTTTCAAAATGTCAACATAATTGTTTAAAAAATATTCAGTGTATTTGGTTTGAGTTTTTTGGATTTAGTTGTTTGAAAATTGAGTTTTTTGATTTTCGTATTTTTTTTGTTTTTAGTGAATATTTTTTAAATTTTAGATATTTTTTTTTTACTTTTTTAGATGCACCTTACTTAGATATATCTAAAAAGTAAAAAATTTGTGATAAAATATTTTTCAAAATTAATAAATACATAAAAATACAAAAAATGTACAGAAAAAATAGTTTTAGTATTTTTTCAGAAAAAATATTTTTTTTAATTTTGAATATTTTTTTTTTACTTTTTTAGATGCACCTTAGTTATTTGTATCTAAAAAGTAAAAAATTTGTGAAAAAATATTTTAAAAAATTAATAAATACATAAAAATATAAAAAAAAATGTACTGAAAAAATATTTTTGTATTTTTAATATTTTTTCAAAAAAATATTAATTTTTTCAGCAAAATGTACTCAAAAAATGTACGCTTTTAAAATATTTTAGTACATTTTAAAAGCGTACATTTTGCTGAAAAAATATTTTTTGAGTAAATTTTTTGAGTACGCTTTCACTGTGCATATTTTTTTGAGTATATTTTTCTGAAAAAATATTAAAAATACAAAAATATTTTTTCTGTACATTTTTTCTATTTTTATGTATTTATTAATTTTTAAAAATATTTTTTCACAAATTTTTTACTTTTTAGATATATTTAAGTAAGGTGCATCTAAAAAAGTAAAAAAAAAATATGTAAAATTTAAAAAATATTCACTAAAAACAAAAAAATACGAAAATCAAAAAACTCAATTTTTAAACAACTAAATCCAAAAAACTCAAACCAAATACACTGAATACTTTTTAAACAATTATGTTGACATTTTGAAAAAAACTGTGTTTTATAGAAAAAAATTTTAGTTAACCAAACAAATGTTTTACTTTTTTTTGATAAAAAAATTACATAATAAATATATAAAGTATAGAGTGAGTAGAAAAAAAAAAAAAAAACAAAACAAACCTGGCGAGATTTGAACCCACCCACGGCCCCTGCCAAAACATAACATTGCATTACCATTTGAGCTACCAACAACCTAGGTCTTATATTGATCACGTTTTAATATATATTAAAAGTTTTTGGATAAAATCGTGATTTATGACAGCGAATTCAGAAGAAATTTTTTTTTTGATAAAATCGTGGTTTATAACAGCGAGTTCAGAACAAATTTTTTTTTTTTGACGAAATCGTGTTTTATAACAGTGAGTTCAAAAGAAAAAAAAATTAATTAAATTCGCGTTTTGTAACCGCGATTTCTTAATCAAAATCGCTTTTTGTAACAGCGAGTTTAAGATCTGCCACCTTTCACGCGCAATAGGCGGAAAAATGTTAAAATCGCGATTGTAAACCGCGAGTTAGCTTATTCTGGGAATTCTTTCAAAACTAGGCTTAGTTTGGGAATTAATTTATTATTTTAGCTTATTTAGGGAAATGGCCCCTTTTTTTGGTTTGTAGTAAAAATTAAAAATTGACTTTTTTGTCTTTTTTTTTTTTTATTTGAGAAGTTGGTTTTTAGCCAACGATGAAATTATAATTTTACCTTCATGGGTCAAAATGTGTTATATAGGTGAAGTTGTGAATATTTTAAATAAATAGGAGTAGTTTGGTCATTTTATTATGATTTGATATCATAAATAAACATTAATCAAAAAAAATCAAAAGTCACTTTTTATCAACTTTTCAAATCATTTGTCTAAAAAAGTCAAAAAATTTGGTTAAAAGTCAAAAAACTACTTTTTACCATCTTCCCAGAATAAGTCTATGTGTTTAGAGGAATAGAGAGAGACAATCGAATAGAGTAGAGCCCTAATTTTAATTTGTTTCATGTTTTGTTTATTACAAAAAATACCCTAAATTTATATAATTTTTTTAAATAGACCAAACAAATTGCTTCGATACCCTTTAATTTGTAAAAATCTCGTTTTTTACCCCCAAAGTACCCAAAAACGTACCCATGGCATACCCATCATTATACTGATTGTATAAAACGTACCCGATGCATTTTTTGCATACCTAGTACACGTGTAGCCGTATCGATATGCGTACCAACACCCAGTAAGTACCCGGTACTTGTACGACAACACTTTTGGAGTACCCGTGCTTCATAGATAGTGACTCTTTGTATGTAGTTACTTAGGTAAATGCGATATATAGTTCTTTTATATCAAGTTGTACTGCGATGTAATTAGGCGATAATTGTAACAATAAATAAGGAAGTGGTTTATGTTCATTTCATCTAGGGATGGCAGAAGCAGAGCGGGGACTGAGGTAGGGGTAGGGTAGGAGTGGGTTAAATTAATAAAAATTCTTAATAATATAGTATATTACGAATAATAATTTATTCTTAATGAGAATTATATTATATAAGATATAACATAGAAAATAAATGAATAAAAATTAATATTAAATATAATATTTTAGTATTTTAACTTTATTATAATGAAAATTAAGTTAATTATATATTATATATATATATATATATATATTTAATAAATATAATTGGGTAGGGGAAGCAAAACCCTTCCTCGTCTCACTTAATTGGGATGTAAAAAATCTGTGCGGAATGGAGTAGGGGATGCGGGTGCGGATGCGGAGTGGGGTGGAGGAAAATGACCATCTCTAATTTTCATCTATCTAAGCACTTGCTTTAAATGAATGTTGCGGAATGGAAGAGGTTAAATACTTCCGCTGCTGTTTGTAATGATTTTACCCAAATTTTCTATAGAAGTACTATGGATGTTGTATAGTTAGGCCTTTGGTAGCCTATGGCTGCTGGCCGGTCACTATCCTGTCTCTGTTAAGGTGGATGGGGTTGTGACATTGGGTCTTCTTTTAGCAGACCATATTTTCTCGTCACCAATCTTTTCACATGTTAGTAAGAATGGGAAGTGACAAACGCAACCTCAACAACAATACATTTAGAAAGTCAACATAAATGGTGATGAAATACCACCAGCTAAAATACATTATTCCCTTATTACTTCATACACTCGTAAAGTTTCTAAATTTTATATTTAATTGAGCGTTACCTCAAGCTAAAATTCTATCATTTTGCTTGGTTGTAAGAATGACTCATCCATGGGGGCAAGTCATTGCCTACCTTATGCAGATGTATTTTAAAAATATGTCATTGAGAAAAATAGGCCAATGTACACATTACCCATACCATTCATTTTGTTCATGAGACTACTATTCACTCCCTTGATTGGTAGAGATTACAAAATTAGTGCTTATTATACTAATCGAAATATTTGCTCTTCATGGTCACATTGTTCAATGCTTGTCTATGCAAAGCAGATTATTGGCCCGTCCACACTTTGCTTAACAACAACAAAGCCAACTTGTATGACGACCACCTCCTTAGTTAAAATTAATTTAAATTTAATTGAATATATGCTTAGTGTTAATTGAGTGTTTATGTAATTAAGTGCTATTGATTGTCTTGAAAAATTGTTGACTTGCTTGATTGAACAGATATGTGAGAATAGGAATTAAACCTATCTGATTCACTAATTTTAACAAGTTAGAATTAAATGATAGGATAGGAGATTAGAGCCTAATTCACATTAATTTATTCTAATATAGTAATTGAGATTATATTGTGTTAAGAGTTAATTTAATTTAATTAACAATACTTTATTAGCCTTAGTTGAATTAATAAAATATTAATTAAAGAATTAAAAAT